ACCTAAGAGCTAAAGGTGTTTCCCTACTATGTCTAGGGATGTGAACCGAGCTTGAGTCCTTGGCAACATGGCATCTACAGTTATGCAGCTCTGTCTGTCCAAACTCTCAAGGACTCTCAAGGTCGAGGAGAGAGAGGAGCCTCACACAGCAAAAGGTGTGTGAGGCTCAATACCAATCACCTGACACCAAAGCGTGGATACAATCTTGTCAGTTTCCATGTGGGAGAAACCCAGGGTCGGTTTGTTTCAGCAGAGAGTGTCTGAGAGCATTAGAGCCATCAATTTTTTTAAGCAAGATAATTTTGACACATGCTCCAAATCCAACATGGATCAACCTTAAAGGCATTATACTAAGTGAAATTAGCCAGACACAGAAGGACAAATACTGTGTGGTGCCACTTATGGAAGAAATTAGAGAAAAAACCCATAGTTAGAAAGTAGAATGGGGTTGGCAGGGGCCAGAGGGAGGGGAATGGGAGAGTCAGTGTGTAACAGGGACAGGTTCCGTTCTGCAGACGCATGGAGGTGACGGCTGCATGACAGTGTGAAGGTGCTTAGTGCCACAGATCTGTCCTCCTAAACATGGCTAAACAGTAACTTCTGTTATGTATGTTTTACCATAATCAAAAACAAGCAAACCTTAGCCCATCTTTCGCCTGCTTCCAGAAGGGAAAGGAGAGAGAACATGAAAGCAGATGCCCAGAGCCTCACCACCCAGTGTGCTTTGCCTAAAACTTAAGCCGTTTCCCCTCTGGGCTTGGTGCTTCTCTGGGAAAGCCTTCCAAAGTGAGCTTTAAGTCTGATGACGCCAGCACCTTAGCCTTAAATCAGTCCCCACAAGCTCAAAACGAAGTGGCAGAATTTGGTACAATGATGGGTGGGTTACCGGAGGGAAAACAAAAGTAGAGGAGAGAGGCGGCAGTTTGGGGGTTTATTCTCCATCTGCCCGCTTCTGGAAAACCAGAGGCCAAGACAAACTGCTCAGGCTCCCCCACTTGTCTGCAAGGCTGCCTGAGCCCACCTCACCTTGGCTTGCATTTGGGAAATTTCTTTACCTTTTTTGGGAAAATTTCCTCTCCTCCACACCCACCAATTACAGGGTATGTGGGTGTAGCAAGAAAAACTTCCCAAATAAGAAAAAGTGATTCTCAAAGGTTAGTCCCAACTCAGACCGTCTGGAAGAGAAAGGCAACAGTCAGTCCCTGAAGGCCAAGGCCTAGCAGGAATTGCCAAGCAAAAAGGCCTTTTAAAGCAGCTCTTGAGACAGGCTCTGATTCAGGGATGAGGCCCTCCTCTCTTCCTCCTGGGACTCCTGACAACTACAGCAACTGGTGTGCCCCTCTTGGCTCCAGTGACGGGGCCCAGACAATTCCCCCAGTTGGTTCTCTGAAGCCCTCTGGAGGGCTTTCTCCTTCTGCTGGGAAACCATGAGAACTGCACGCGCACAACACACCACACCCTCTCCCAGCTCCCACCTTCTCAGACTGTGGCAAAACCCCCACAACAGTGCATGTACAAAGGCAGTTCGTTCAATCAATAAGTACTTACTGGGTTTCTACCTTACAACCCCAGGCTAGACAATGCAGAAAGATACCAACAATTATCAGGGGCCCAACAATGAAAACACAAAACAGAACAAAAAACACGTCACAACCTAGTTGGTAAGATAACATTTAAACAAATTAAAACAAATAGCAATGGTGTATAAAGTCAAGTGACAATGTGCAAGAGATTGTGACTAAGTGTTACAGAAACAGCCCGGCCATAAAATGCTACAAAAGTTATTACATGCAGATTAGCTATGGAGGTCTGGGGGCAGGGGGCAGGGTGCTGGAGCTAAGCTTAGCAGGAGTGGCAGAATTAGTGGTGGCCCCCAGCTGCCCAGAGCTGCTGCTCTTGGAGACCAGCACCAAGATGGGGCCACCACACAGGTACCCTGGTCTGAGCTTGCCACGGGACTGCTGCCTGCATGCTCCCTGGTCTGAGCTTGCCACGGGACTGCTGCCTGCATGCTCCCTGGGTGAAAGCCACACATGAGCAGCTCTGCAAGCCCTGTGGTCACCCAGTGTACAGTCACTCCACAGAAACCCCTCACACCAGAAACAGGACCACCCCTATTCCCTGCCTGGCACTTACCACACCAGCCAGCAGGCTAACCCTGCCCCATCACCTTCCTCATTCCCAGGAAACCTAATGGCTGAGTCCTTCCATACCTTTTAAGAAGGGATGATGATAATTTCTATTTCATTTTTAAACATTTAAATAAGTCACAGACAAGATCTTGCAGAGTGTCTAAGCCTTGGCACTGCTGACATCTGGAACCCAAGCATCTCTTGTGGGTGGGGGGCTGTTCTACGTATCACAGCATGTTCAGCAGCACTCCTGGCCTCCACCCCTGAGGTGTCAGGCAGCCCCCGCCACTCCACACAGCTGTAAGAATCAAAGATGACCCCAGAAAGGGCCAGCCCTCAGGGGCACTGTGGTCCCCAACTGAGGACCACAGTTCTAGGGACTCAAGGGAAAACTTCTAGCACAGCTAGAATTCAGTTCACACATAAGCCTGCCTAAGATGTCCTCCTTCTCCAGACCTCAGGACCCTGCTGGCCAGGCCAAGGCAGGAGTGTACGCTTCAGGAAAGCTGCCCTCTGGGTTGGAGCTCCAGGGTTCTGGGTCATGCTCATCCGGTAAATGGCCATAAAGAACAAAGCCCGATGCAAACCACTGGGAAACAGGAGCCACCTATAAGCCCTACAGCAATGGCCACTGATGCTGACCACTGGGCAACTGACATCTGACTGCCCCCTTCACCCAGCTGCTTCTCAAGTGCAACCCAGACGCCCCCTTGCACCTTCCCCATGCACAAAGGAACACCCTCACACATGAAAGGTTGCATTAAAGGTATTTCAAAGCAACCACCACCGTTTCTTTCATTCACAGAAATAATGGCACTTTATTACCAGGAGGTGCAGTGTATCTATACTGCCCACAGTTTGAGCAGATCAGCACCAACTGGCTCACAGGGCCAGTCTCTTAAACTCCAAGGTCATCTGCCAGGAAATGGCCCATGGCCCCAGTGCTCAACTCTGGGCATTTCCCCAATGCCCTCTCTGCAGTCCAAGCTCCCGAGGCTCCTGTCTTGTCTCCTGTCACTAGCACAGCTCCACTTCTGCCCTAGCACACATGGAACAGTGCCCAACCAGCACCCAGGTGCTAGGAGACCAGAATGAACAGCAAGGTGTCAGTCTTCATAGCTCAATGGTTTTGTGGTGCAGCATGTGCTCTGTGTTTATACCCACACAACAGCATCCCCAGTAGCCACCCTCTTTGTGGTTGTGCAACTGAGCTAAAGGGAAGAATAAACTGTGCTGGACTCCAGTTAGATCCAAAGAAAGATTTCCTGACCAGAATAATCGGTCTGCAAGGAAAGTTCTAGGGACCTCTTTTTGGGATGGTTCATTGCCCCAGCCCAGTCTGAATGCAGTCCAGTGACTTCTGAGGCTCCTTCTCTAATTGTTTGTCTTTGTAGGGCTTCAGAACAGGTCAGCCAGGCAGAGGAGAGGACAGAGTGAACCCCCAGGCTCTTAGCAGCCCCCCCCCCCCCCGAGCTACTGTAGGCACGACAGCCCAGTCAGAAGAACACACGGGGAAGTGCTGTATCTCTCTCCACGCCTGCTTCCGCCCTCAAAGGAAACGGGTGTCCAAGTGAAATCAGTTCCCCTGCTCCCACCTCCAGCGAGTTCCAGCACCCCACAGGCACTCCCCTCCACTCCAGTCAACTCATACTACTCCAGACCACAGATGTTTCCAAGGCAAAACCCCTCTGTTGGTCATCTATACTGTATGAATATGCTCACAAAAAGAATAAGAAGGAAGAACGTTCTTTTTAAGAAGGAGCCAATGAAGTGATAGTCAAATAACTAGATGTCAGGTGTCATGCCTACTAATTCCACACCTAGATAGCATACCCATTAATTCTCCCAGAAACACAATGAGAATGCATCACAACACAAAGATCAGGACTCACATGTGGAATTGGACCCACTTATATTCACCTATGAGCTGTCGTGACCACCCTACAATCCAGGGTCCACACAGTCTCTGAGGTCCTTGGGCAGGACAGTCATCTCTGCTCACACTCTCACCCTCCCTGTAGAGAAATGAGCTCTGGGTGGATAGGGCCAATCTGTTTTACATGGTGTGACGAGACTGTATAAGATGATTTCCATTTAAAATGCTGTCCAAAAGAGCGTGCACACACTCATGTATGCCAATGGAACAAAAAAAAAGCTTAAATCCTTCCTCTTCAACCCTTTATGAAGCTTGGAATGTGGTCATACCTCAGATTAGTCAGGAGACCCATCTCCTTTAGAGAAAAAAGTCAAGACACAAAGAGGGTAGTAAAAGAAAAGCCAGAAAATTCCACCTGGTTGGTTTTTTAGTTTTCCTCTGGACCAAGAGTAATAAACACTCATCCAGCCCAGGAAGCAAGAAGCAGACCAGGTGGGTATCAGGGCAGGAAGGACTCTGCACACCCTGGCCTAGCGACCAGATGCTCGGTAAGGACCAGGAGGAGGCCGCTGGAGAGCCACAGGAGGAGCAAACCCAGCCACGCCATGAGCTGAGGGCAGTCCTGGGACTGGAGCAGAGAAATGCAGTGCACTCGGCTCCCACATGCACCCCAGGACTAGCCTCATCTGCCCCTGCAGGTCCACGGCCTGCTCTACCTCTAACTGGGAGTGCACGGCCAAGTCGAACTCCTACTAGCCTTGGACAGAAGGGACTTCCTCCCTCACCACTGACTGTCACCAATGACCACTCCAGGTGCCTCAAACCAAAGGTCTGGGTTTTAAGGGTCATCTCTACCAGTTGCCACAAGTTCTTCAAAAATCCCAGGCTGCGAAACAGAAGCCCAAGTTATAGCACACAGATGCTACAAATGCAACCACAATGAAGTAGCCTGGCAAAGGCAGGGACAGGGAGTGGGCGAGGAGGACACTCACCATCTCATCCAGGGCGTAGCGCAGGAGGCCGTGCTCGTAGAGGATGAAGAACCGCCGCTGCCATTTCTGCAAAGGAACACGGATTGGGTATGCACGAGGATTCTGGCCGTGCTCACCAGTTACTGAGTCCCTGTGTCGGACAAACGAGTATCTAAAGAACGCTGGTTCCACAGCTTCCACGTCTGAGACATACAGGCAGAAAGGCGGGACCCAAGGTGAAGAGCGGTGATTTATGAGCCATATTGGGCCAGAGGAGAAGCCCAATCACCCAGTGTGTTTCCACACTAGTTCCTGAGATTTAACGAGATGTCTGGTTTATTTTAACTTGCAAGCTCCTCAGAAGCAGAAATGTTTTGGTCACCTTTTTGTATTCTTTATGTACCCAGCACACAGCTATCACATAAAATGTGTCAAAGTTTATTTTATGAATTATATGACATGATATGGAATAACCTGAGGATACCAAGCACTGACTCCCCATTTCTGAGAAAATGTAGGAAACTGCTATAAAAAGTTGTTCTGGTGATCCTCAGGGAATGGGAGACAGGGTAAAAGACAGCTAGGCTCTAGTACTCGCTGAGAAGTGAGATAATAAAAGTCAAAACCGAGGAGGTCTGGGACAAGTGGGAACCATTCCGATGTCCAGGGTGCTCTCTCTCTACTCTCCAACCACAGGCAGGCCCTAGGGACCCACAGTGGTCCAGTGGCGCTGATGGTGGATAAAAAGCACGAGGGTGAGCGCCTTCTTCATGAGGACCCACGGCCTATTTTCAACATTTCAAAAAGCCCAACATAATTCATACTTTTACTGGCAATAAGGCCACAAGAACTAACTAAAATATCACGTCTCTTTGCTTTGGGCCAGAATTACATCATTTATAATAATGATTTTCCCATTAGAAGCTGGGAACGGCAATTCTGTATGACCTCAACATAAATGGGAAAGGGGGCTACTCCCTGGTCACTGCGGGCACTGAGACACGGTCCTCCTGCCCGGTGGCAGAAAGAGGGCCTGCAGAGGACTGGTTCTGCATCAGGTATCCAGGGAGACCCTTCCCAAGAAATATTTCCAAGGCATCAATTTGCAATCTTTAAAGACAAAACCCATTCTAGAAGGAATCCCAAAGGACCCAGAAACAATACAAGGTCTGCGGGGCATCAGGAGCCCCACCCCAGAGTACAGCATTGAGCTGGGGTAGCAGAGACCAAGAGACAAGGCAGAGGCTCCGTGAGTGAGCCGAGGTCAAGCAGGAAGCAGAGCAGGAGCAATCCTGAGGGCACAGGCAGAGCACCTAGAAAAAGCATGTGGGAGAGGAAAGATGGTACTTCAACTCAGGTCGAATCCAGAGGGCATCCCTGGCAGAGGGCTGTCCAGGCACAAGGCTGGCTTGACCATCATACTGCTCCAGCTGCCTGTGCACAGCAGTGACCTGCCAAGGCTAGAGTGCTCAGGGGAGCAGCAGCAAAAGCAGACTCGGTCTTCAGACCATCCTCCCTGCACTGGCACTTAGTAGCTGAGCCCCTGGCAGGGAGGAAGGGAGAGGGAATGAAGAGGGGGAGCTGCAGGAGGCACTGAGTGACTGGGAGCCTGATCAGCATAATCGCAAACATGTGCTGAACTGCCCTTTGCCTGCTCCATGGAACTACTTCTAGAGCCAGATGAGCGTGAAGCAAGCAGCACCATGTGAGAGCTGCTCATTCTGAACAGAGCGCCACGTTCAATTGTGCAACTGAGTTTTCCTGTGGGTCCTCCGAGTTTGCCAAATGGGGGTTCCCTGCAGATCCCACCATCCCATGACCCACTGTCAACTCTCCATCTTCCTCTTCCATTCTGTCAATCTGTCCTTAGATGGGCCCCTCTCTGGTCCTCAAACCCCAGGAGTTCGCAGATTCCCTTACCCGAGACCGATGTACTGGGTTGTCAAAGTCAGTTCCATCTGGAGCCAAAAGCAGCCAGCCACCATAAATGGGTTTTGCCTAGAGGAGAAAAGGGCAAGCCGTCAGTGGCCTTGGACCAGAGAGAGAGAACAGATTTCAACAATCAAATTAATGACAAGCACTTGTGAGAAACAGAAGTCACCTCTGCTTAGCACACTCCACACATCACATCCCTCAGCCACAAGCTGAGTTTCCAAGAAAGATGACTGACAGCAAGAGGCTCATGGGAGGCCTGCAGCATCTGGTATGAAGGGTGGAACCCATAACCCAGTAGGAAGCTGAGAAACTGTGGGGTTCAGGAACTCCTAAGAAAACAGATGCCTCTCTCAAGTTCCAGATCAAGCCGCAAAGGTCAGGAAAAAGTGGCATTTTCTTCAAAACCATGTGAGTGCCTATGTGTGCCAGGCACTAGCTATATCACGTGAATAACATAGTCAGAAGCCCTCACCCTGACAGCACAAAACAGGATCTGGGGTAAGACACACCGCTTTGGTGACCACAGCTGGCACTGGTCAAAGAATGATCAAAATATTGGCTGTATGACCTTGGGCTGACAACCCTGAGTTTCAATCCTCCCGTTTGAAAGGGGGGAATGGATAATAATTATTATCTATACCCCATGAAATTTATGTGAGGATGGATGAGATAATGCAAAGAAATATAAAATGGTGTAGCCACAGTGGAAAACAATCTGGGAGTTCCTCAAAAGGTTAAATGTAGAATTCCATACAACTCAGAATCCCACTCCTACGTATATACACCCAAGAAAAATGAAAGCAGGTACTTAATAAAAACTTGGACATGAATATTCACAGCGCACTATAAACAATGACCAAAAGGTAAAACAGCCTTAACCATCAACAGATGAAGAGACAAACAAACTCGGCACCTCACACAATGGAGTAAGACTCAGCAGTAAACAGGCATGAAGTGCTGACACCACCCCACCCCCCCCACGGATGAACCTTGAAGACATCATACTATGTGTGAGAAGGCAGACAAAAAGGACCACCTACTGTCTGATTCCACTCGCATGAATAGGTAAATCCACAGACACAGAAAGCAGGCGAACGTTGCCAGGACGTGGAGGAAACAGGAGGTGAGGAATGAACATGAACAGCTATGGGGTTCTTTTTGCGGTGAAGAAAATGTTCTGGAATTATACAGTGGAGATGGCTGCTTGACCCTGTGAGTACAGTCAGCCTTCGTTTATCACGGTTAATCAGCTCCAGACTCTACTGCTTCACGCTATCGCGATCGTGTTGTACTTGAAAACACCGCGACAGCGTGAAGCCGCGCAAGTCGAAGCGTGAAGTGGTGAGGGACAACTGTATGCTAAAAACTACTGAATTATACACTTTAAGAGGGTGAAATTTTATGGTATGTGAATCATATCTCAAAAAAACTGAGAAAAAAATCTGAGTACAGTGTTTGGTCTACAAGTGCTTAACAAATGTTAGCTACTGTTCTATGTTTATATTCAAAGACCCTGGCAGTAGGAGCTCAACATGAACTAAAAGACCCAGACAGACACTCCGGCCCTGCCTGCCTGCCTTTTCAGCCACACCCAGATGGTGAGCGGGCCAGAAAAGGCACAGGCAAGCCTATCTGTCCCCAACCCTCTGAGGGCAAGGACTATGGAACCCAGCCCTCCCCCTCACAGAGGGGCTGCTCTCTGGGTAAGCCCTAGGGGCCCTCCTAACGCGCTTTCTATTTAACACCCTGCAAACTCGGAGGCCCTGTCACAGCACCTCATTTGATAGCTTAGACTCAGAGAGGGAAGGCCACTTGCCAGAGGTCACACAGCATCTGGGTGAGTCAAAAACACTTTTTTCTTGGCTTCTACAGGGTCCTCAAGGCCCACAAAGAAAGCACTGGCTTTTCCCCAGAGACATGAACAGAGCAGGTAAGGGGCTTTGGGCAAGGGGTATGGAGTCTGGCGTTCTCTGCGCAACTCCAGGGTCACTGGGAGACAGCAAGGAACCTGCCGCCCTGCACTGCCAGGCAAGTGAGCAAATGGGGGAACAGAAATTACTGTGAAGAGGGTGCAGCCTCCCCCCACACACAGGATGGCCCAGGAGAGAGTGACCGATGTGTGGGGACGATGAGGAAGGAGCCCGTCAAGCTGGGCAGAACAGCCGTGCTTGCTTCCTTCCTTCCTTCGCACTCCTCTGCGCCTCTGAGAACACCAGACTCTGGAACCCAGTGCACGGCCTGAGAGCCAGGCACCAGGACACCTCCTCTCGGACCACCTGCCATCCCAAACCAACCACCTGACCCCCCAAGTACTGCAGCTTCTCCCAACAGTTCTCAGATATCTAAAAATGCCAAGAGCAGACCCAGTCTTGTCAGGAAGTCCAGAAGCCCCCGCAGAGCCCCTGCCCCACAGGACTGGAGGCTCACAGTGGTTGTGTGAGGCCGCAGTACTCCCTCTCTCAAACCTCACCTTCTTTCTTGGGGCGAGGCCTCGGTCAGACGGGAAGGCATTCTCTTCCTGAGAACCCATAACAACCTGAAATGAAGACACCCAGGAAGCTGGCCCAGGGGAGTATGCTCTAGAAACGCGTAGAGGTATGCTAGCTAGTTCTGTTGTTTTCTAGCTGGGTGGCTGGTTTTGTGTTTGTGTGTTTGTGTGGGGGCAGGGCGTGCAGAAGCAGGTATCTGTTGTTAATGCTGAGGTCCAAGCTGGGCTGAAAGGACCCAAAAGATGGGACTGAGCTCTGTTCCAAGCAAGCTACCCTGGAGAAAGCACCCTGGCCTGAACCCATGGAAAAGCACCCCTCGACCTGCTTCCCTTCCAATTCCGCTCAGCCTTCCCACACAGGCCCGGTGAGGCAGAGGCTGCGCTTCTTCCTGGCTCAGCTCTGGACAGAGGCTGCTGGTGGTCTGGTCGGATGCCTCAACCCAAAGCCTTTCCAACAATGGTTCCCTGAAACTTCTGCTTCTTTGAAGAAGGGGTAGATGTAATTTTCCCTCTTCCTCCTAAGTACAAATAAAACCATGGATATCGACTATAAGACAAACCAGAGAAGACTGAAAAGTGGAGAGAAGAAGGCAGGCAGGATAGGGTCACGTCAGGACCCAGACATGACAAAGAGGTGCACACCCTGGGTTTCTTTCTGCCTCACTGCTCGAGATGGGGGACTGGAGGAGCAGGCAAGCTGGATGTGCCAATGGGCACAAACAAGAGTGCCCTATAAAAGCCTGTTCCCTTGAGCCAAGGAAAGAGGTACAATACTTTTCAGACGCTGAAAGAAAATAACAGTCAACACAGAATCCTATATCCAGTGAAAATATCCTTCAGGAATAAAAGAGAAATCAAGACATTCTTAGATGAAGGAAAGCTAAGAGAATTTGTTAGCAGACCTACTCTAAAAATATGGCTAAAGAAAGTTCTCTAAACAAAAATGAAACAAGAAGATAACTTGGATCCTTATAAAGGAAGCAAGAACACAGTAAGCAAAAGTACATGTAATCAGGCATTCTTTCTCTTCAGTTTTCTAAATTATGTCTGAGGACTGAAGCAAAAATTATAAATAACATTGTCCAATGTGGCTCTTAGATTATGTAGAGAAAAGACTTAAGATACTTGCATAGGAAAGGGTAAAGGGATATTAAGGGTAGAACTCCCTTTAGTTGAACTGATAAAATGACACCACCAGTAGATTGCAATAATTTATGTATATATAATGTAATGTGTCTAGAGCAACCACTAAAACAATCTATACTGAAAAAACAAACAAACAAAAAAAAACCCAACACTGTAAGTCATCAAATTTGTCATTAAAAATGAAATTCTAAAAAAAAAGCCCTGGCCGGTTTGGCTCAGCGGTTAGAGCGTCGGCCTGCGGTCCTGAGAGACCCGGGTTCGGTTCCCGCTAAGGGCGCGTACCTTGGTTGCAGTTTGTCCCCGGCCCTGGTCGGTTGTGCGGGTGGCAGCCACTCGATGTGTTCCTTTCACATCGATGTTTCTCTCTCTCTCTCTCTGTTCCTCTCTCTCCCTCCCACTCTACCTGAACAAAAAATGGAAAAATGTCCTCGGGTGAGGATAAAAAAAAAAAATGAAATTCTAAAAAAAAAGTTCAAGCAGGAAGAGAAATAAAAATCAAAGAAAATAGGAAACAAAAAATAATTATGGCCCTGGCTGGTTTGGCCAAGCGGTTAGAGTGTTGGCCTGTGGTCCAGAGAGACCCAGGTTTGGTTCCCGCTAAGGGCACGTGCCTCGGTTGTAGTTTGTCCCCAGCCCTGGTTGGGTCGTGCGGGTGGCAGCCACTCGATGTGTCCCTTTCACGTCGATGTTTCTCTCTCTCTCCCCGCCCCTACTCTCCCTCCCTCCCACTCTATCTGAACAAAATGTCGAAAAATGTCCTCAAGTGAAGATTAAAAAAAAAATTATGGCCAAACATGTCAATGATTTTATTATATGTAAATGGTCTAAATACACAATACACCAGTTAAAAGGCACAGACTGACAAAGCAGATTTTAAACAAGACAAACTATAGTGCCTACAACAAACTCACAGGCAGGTTGATTGTAAAAGAATAGGAAAAATATATCACACAAATAAAAATCAGAGGAGAGCGGATTTGTTATATAACATCAGATAAAATGTACTTCAAAATAAAGAAAATGATCAGAGACAGAAAGGAACATTATATAATGATAAAAGGATCAATTCAACAAGAAGACAAAGCAATCCTAAATGAATATGCACCAAGAAACAGAGCTGCAAAGTAATTATGAAGCAAAAAACAGAACTGAAAGGCAATATAAAGAAATTCACAATTACAGTTGGAGATTTCAACACCCCTCTCTCAACAATGGATAGAATAACTAGACAGAAAACAACAAGGAAGAAAAAGAAATCAACACCACCATCAACCAACAGAATCTAGTTGACAGTAAAGCAGTCCACCAAACAGCAGAATAACCCCCCCTTTATAGGTGCCCACAGAACATACACCATGATAGACCATTTACTGAGCCATAAAACAAACCTCAATAGACTAAAAAAATTGAAATCGTAGAGTTATGTTCT